GGCATTCAAATACAAGGGTAGGTTTATTTCTGTATTCTTAGATGGGTACCAACAGAAGTGAATGAAAATTTTTCAGATAATGTGACAGAAAATGGTGTTTTAATGAAGCTAAATCTCATCTTGCATTATAAATATGGCACTGTTAGAGATTGTGTGTGTGTACACCTGTGCATACACCTGTGAATTCCTGTCACATACACTCCACTCATCGCTTTTCCTTTTTAAAGATACTACAAATCTTTCCTTGTATAGAATGCCTTCTGAATGCCATTGACATTTGAATCAGCATCTGTTACTTTTTACCCAGGTCAGTCATTCCTCTCCTGCCCACAGGAATATACCAGCAAATGTGCACACTGAGGACTTATCAAAGTCTGGTGATTCTCAAGCTTTTTCTTTTTACTTTGAAAAAAAAACATTTGTTTTTGAAGCAAAGTTGGGGTTTATAAAGAAATGGTTTTAATAAAAATTTAAGCATTGGGCAGAAGGAGAGAAAGAGACTTGAGGAAAAGGACAGTTCCCTCATCCAAGATGGGTGGATGAGAGCTTATCAAGAGAAAGTCTCCTTTCAAAAGCAGTTAAGCTGGGCATGGTGGTGCACACCTTTAATCCCAGCACTCAGGAGCAGAGCCAGGTGGATCTCTGTGAGGTGGAGGCCAGCCTGGTCCACAAAGCAAGTTCCAGGCCAGCTGCGGGTGCAGGGAGATCCTGTCTCAAAAAAATCAAAATAAAATAAAGTATAAGATATGTCTAACAATCTTGAATTATTCAATTTAGAAAAACTCTCTTGCATTGTTACGAAGTTATTCCAGAAAATGCTGTGTGCAAGCTTTATTTTGATTTGGAATTTAACAAATCGGCCAATCCGCAAGCTGATGGGAAGAAGATGGTTGCATTTCTCATAGAGGTAAATGGCAGCCTTGAGTTCTGTTCTGTATCTTCCCATTCATCTCTTCATCCACTTATTTTTTCATTCAGGGAATCCACCCGATGTCGTATGTAGGTTCCATTTGTTCCCCTTTGTCTTGCTGCTCTTTCTTTTGACTTCATTTTTAAAAAAATATTTTATTATTTTTATTTTATGCGTTATGAGTGTATTGTCTGCATATGTATAAGTGCAGTGCCCACAGAGGTCAGAAGAAGGTGTCGGATCCTCTGCAACTGGAGTCAGAGATGGTTGTTAACCATCATGTGGGAGCTGGGAATTGAGCCCAGGTCCTCTGTAAAAGTAGCCAGTGCTCTTAACCACTGAACCATCTCTCTAGCCCCTTGACTTCATTTTTAAACATTATTTCTGTAAGATGTGAAGCAAAATGAAAGTTTAATTTATGCCCATATTTTTTAAATGTTACTATATTAAATTTAAAAAGCTGCAAAAGATGATGGTTTGGGAATTTTCTGGTTTCAAACTATGTGTTAATTCTGACTTCTGGTATAAATACTGGCTTGTGGTAAAGGCCAAATAAAATAATTTTTGCTGATAAATTTGAATATTGAGATGAAATTCAAAAAAAACTTTGCTTAAAATTAGTATTGGCATTTTTGAACTGGTGGGATTTTGGAAATCTTATCTTGTACCTTCACAGGTGAAGAAATACTTAGTAGGGACCAGTACCTACTCAGGTCCCACAAAAAGATGTGGGCGAAAAAGCTAGAACAGACCAGTTATCTCTGGTTTCCTCTAAGAGAGAAGAATGTGGTTCTAATATTTATTTTGATTTGGCTGTGTCAACCAGGGAATCACCAAAATGAGGAATGATACAGGCTTGGACAGCTAAGTCTAATTAGGACTGTTTTAAAAAACTTAAGATTGTTTTGCATGAATTGTATGAAACTTGTATTAACTACTATTTGGTCTCAGAGTAAATATTAACATAACATTTTTCCTTGTGACTATTAACCACATGATAATCTTATTAAAAAACTTTGTAATTTAAAAATATATCTAAATTCAAATGTTCTTGATAAAGGATGTCTACTAATTGTATTAGATCTTACTATATTTGATTTTAAATTTATTTGAAAAAATTCTTAAATACTGCGTGTGTGTGTGTGTGTGTGTGTGTGTGTGTGTGTGTGTGGTTAGCTTTCTCCTGGCTTTGAAGCATAAGAAATATATCTAAAAATCTTCCTTAATCCCCCAAACCAAATTGTCTTCTTCTTAAAATAGCCATTGAAGAGGCTGGAGGGATGACTCAGTGGTTAAGAACACTAGTTGTTCTTGCAGAAGACCCGGGTTCAAATCCCAGCACCCACATGGCAACTAACAACTGTCCATAACTCCAGTCCCAGGGGATCCGACAACCTCTTCTAGCATCTGTGGGCATTTCATGACACAGGTGCACTTATCTACATGCAGACAATACACGCATACACATAAAATAAAAATAATAAATAAAATTTTTAAAAAATAGCCATTGAGCCGGGAATGGTGGTGCACTCCTTTAATCCCAGCACTTGGGAGGCAGAGG